TTAAGCTCACCCACATCTAGTTCCACCTCAGCTGAGCAACCTTCCAGCCTCCCCCACCCCAACAAGCACTGCCAGCACGCATCGCGCTTGTCTTCTTACATCCTGCATTCACCTTATTTTATTTATCAAAACTATTGTCTGCATATCTGTCTCTCATCTCTCTTCCATTTGGGGCCATATCTCCTTCCAGACTTCCCTGTGCAGACTTCTCCGATTCCAGGCCCCTCACCCTCAGCACTCACTTATTTTCTTACTTCTCAGTGCCTGGCTACTTTTGACAGTGGCCAAAGCTCTCAGCCAGCAATGGAGGCATCTGGACACTCCAAGGCAGGCATGACATGACCAGTGAAAGGGTCAGAAGTTGCTGTCACAACACATCACCAGTCTTCTCACTGCCTTACAGGCTCTCCCCGAAAACCCTTCTTAGCTTTAGAACCAATATATAGGCATACAACTGATCTGGTCTGCTTCCCCTGTGATCTGTATTCGACTCACCTTATCCAACCGCACAGTTTCCAATTTAACCCCCCACCCCTTTCTGACATGCTTGCTCATAAATTAGTAGTTTTGTTGCACCCCCTGGGCAGCTGCTTCTTTCAGTCTGTACCCTCAGTATCTGATCCCCCGCTTGCCAAGGATCAGGTGTGTTAACCTAGAGACCTGGCTGATGGTTACTCAAGGTGTCCAAGAGTAGAAATATCCACACTGTGAGGACCAGCTAAATTTTTACTGAGGGCTTAATATTAAAATCAATAGGTTAAAGGATTCTTCACAGGCATAAAATGAGGAGGGTCTGGGGCCTGGTGGGCAGTGAAATGGAAGGCTAGGCAGTAGGTCCTGCTAGACTAGAGCATAAGCTCAGAGTAACTGGGCCCTGCCTGTCTTGTCTATCACCATATCCCAGCACCTCAGAAATGCCTGGCACGCTGCAGTCACTCAATGTTTAATTGTTGTTGAATAAATAATCTGTAGAAGGCACAGGGAGGGTGATCCTGGGGCAGGAGAAACCCCTGATTTATGCCAGTATTGTCCCACCCTGGATTTGTCAGCTGTGTCTGATTGCTGCATTCGGGCATGTTTCATCTGGCCCTTTAGCTTGTCAGCCTCACGTCTTTTCCTTTTCTGAGGACAGAAAATGCAGCCGGGACTCAGCAAACACCAATTAGTTCAGGCTGAATTGAACTGTGTTTCCCTGGGTAGCTCTTGAAGTTTTTTATGAGTTACACAGTCTCCTCTAGTTAAAAAATATTCTTTTCATTTTTGTCAACATTTGTTTAAAAAATATCCTTTCATTGAGGGGAAAATACGAATTGGATGTTTGCAGCAAAATATGTAGCTTCATAATTATGATTGAACTATGTAGTTCATTACATCTTAGAATCTGAAATGAAACCATAGCCTTTGAAGTTGGTTCCCAGGACATGTTCCATCTCGCTCACTTCTTTTCTTAAAGGAACATAGGAGGGTGAATCCTACCAGCTTTGGGGGGAGCCAGTCCTCATTACCCTACAGCTTGCTAAGACAGAATTTGGGTTTCCAGTTGTAATTTAGAGATTATTCTAAGAAAATAAATTTTATTTAGATATGCTCAGCCATTGATTTAACATGTGGGGGTTTTTTGGACATAAAAATCAGACTGAGAATTGTTCCAAACATAATCTATTGTTACTATCTTGACAGAGGTTGAAATTTTATAAAGCAAAACAAACAAACAAACAATACTACTCTTAAATCAAAGCCTAATTTAAAACAGGGTTACTCAGCCTCAGCACTGTTGATGTTTGGACCAGATAATCTTTGTTGTAGAGTTTGTCCTGTCCTACAAAATGTACACTATTTAACAGCACCCGTGGCCTCTCCATATTAGATGCTAGTAACACCCTCCCCCCTTCCCACTATGGTCATAAAAATGTCCCCACACTACCAAATGTCCCTGGGGGGTTGGAGGACAAAATTACACTGGTGAGAACCAAGGATCTAAAACAGTCCTGCCCTGGCTGGTGTGGCTCAGTTGGTTGAACATCATCCCATGCACCAAAAGGTAACTGGTTTAATTTCTGGTCAGGGCACCTACAGATTTTGTATCATAAAAATGCGCACTTGAAACTTAAAAGGAAAAATTAAATTAATTAATTAATTAATAATAAATAAAACAGTCTAACATGGCAGGATCTTATTTTAAGGAGATCTTTAAATCTTTAGAAATTTCCCAACTATATCATTATAGTGTGACAGAAGACAGGTAGCATTTTTCTGTTTTCTAACAAATATACTTATTTGTGCTCTCCTTCCTTCCCAAATACGAGAGCTGCAGTAAACAGTAGACTTAAGGGTAATACCGTCCTTTCCCTTTCCTTGACTTTCTTCACAGAAATAAGAATAGTGCTTGGTCGGATGGAAACATGTGACAGCATGCGTCAACCAACCTCATAGGAAACTCACCTAGAAGACATTCATTTCTGCTCTCAATTGGAAGAATGTAACTGTCACGAGAGCATACTTTTCTCTCTCTTTTGTTCACTGTTGTATTTCCAGCACCTAGAAGAGCATCTGGTGTACACCAAATGCTCAATCAATATGTAATAAAGAAATTATGTCATTTCCTTTCTAAAAATGTTTAATGGGGTCCCTGACCTACTTCCTAAGGGAGATTATTTGGGGTCCTTAGGCTGAGGTTTAAGGCTCTCTTTATTCTGCATTTTCCAAAATTCATCGGTGCTTCTCTGCTACACAATCCCACTCTCGGACCCAAGCTTAGCTCCAAACATTTTCTCAAATTCTCACAAACATTTTTGCCAATGAATCACTGCTCAATTTGTTCTTTGTTTATAATGTTTATCAAGCTCTCAACCGAGTCAAATCAATACAACACACATTTCAAGAATCAGCTTATTTCATCTCTCTTAGGTAACATCTGGGTCCATAAACTCATGGGGACCTTCTTTGCTCAAAGCCTAAGACTTACTGGTCTGTACCTCACCTTGTGCATTTTAATCCTATAAGATGCAACACCTCTCACTTTATGATTTTGAGTTATCATTTCCATGTATGCATGTCATCTCTATCCAAGTACACTGCAACTTTTTAGAAGGCAGGAACAAGTGATCATGTTTTAAAATAATATAGAATCTATTAATGATAGCTACATAATGAAGGTATATTATTCTCATTAATTCTTTTATTCATTCATCTATTCAACTAGTATTTTTTACTGGCCTACTCTGTGCTAGACATGTGCTAGGATGTAAAACAAATATGCTCCCTGTTTTCATGAAGTGTTTAGACCAGTTGGAGAAAACATGATATCTAATGTGGTGAGAACTAGATTTAGCATCAGAGGACATTGGTATGAATACTAACTTGGCCACTTACTAGTCATGTGACCATTTATGCTCTCAGCATCTTAGTGTCCTCATCTGGAAAATGGGAATGATAACACTTGTTCTGTCTGGCTATCATAATAAAGATCACACCACATTGTATTTTATGTGCAAACATTTTCTAAGTGACTGAACACGGTGGTTTTAATTTGTTCACAAATTCTTTGATACACTCCCTTCAACAAGTGGAGCCTAATTCTCCTCTTCTTCCAGACAAAGCCACTGAGGCGGGGGCCTAGGCAGAGGTGATTAGGGGCAATCAGGCAGGCAGGTGAGCAGTTAGGGGCTATCAGGCAGGCAGGCAATCAGGCAGGCAGGCAGAGTGGGTAGGGGTGATGAGGCAGGCAGGCGAGTGCTTAGGGGCGATCAGGCAGGCAGGCAGAGGCAGTTAGGGGCGATCAGACAAGCAGGTGATCAGGTAGGCAGGCAGAGTGGTTAGGGGCAATCAGGCAGGCAGGCAGGCAAGCAGTTAGGAGCCAGCGGTCCCAGATTGTGAGAGGTTGCAGGCCAGGCTGAGGGAACCCCTTCCCCCCCACCCCCGTGCACAAATTTCATCCACTGGGCCTCTAGTGTTATATAAGTTGCTAAATTTCAGGGTGATTTGTTATGAAGCAATAGACACCCACAGAGTACCGTACAGATTTAAAGTATTATTTTGAATATGTTATTATTTGTTAAATGAAGCATATCAAAATCTATAATGGTTTATTTCTGAATTATGGATTAGAAGTGAAAGAAAAAGAAACTTTAAAAGGAAAATGACAAAACCTTAAGAACTAGAAAAAAATCGCATGAATGTAAACTTTCTGATTTGCAGGTAGTGCTCACTCTGCCTCGCTCTTTATTTTCTGAGAGGTATCAACCTGTGACAGTGGCTGCAAGCTATCTGCCAAAGGCTACAGGCAGGAATTGTTCATCCCTACTGACCGCTTTTGTTTCATTCCATTTTCAGTTCTCATTTTGAGCTAAAATTAATAGTTTGAATTAAATAAGAACGAAAACTTTACTTCTACTCTTCATAGAATATATATATTTTTGTATTAGAGATAGTCACCACAGTTCTTTGTTAAATACAAAGGACATGAACATAGAAATTTATAATTTGTTTGCCAACTTCGGAAAGTCAGTGTTATTTCTTTGGTGTAGAAACAGTAACCCAGCCTGATCTCCATTATTAACAATGTCCCTGTGAGGCTGAATTCATAGTCCTAACTAATCAACTTGGCCAAAATTAATTTGAACCAGGACAAATTTAAGTTTAAAATTTTATCTACCTACCTCTGGTCCACGGAATCTCTGTTTACAACCAATTTCTTAAACATCCCACTTAGACGGAGGAGGGCTGTCAATTTATTAACCTACTTAATAATATAATACAAAATTTAATTTCTCACAATATTTATTCACCCTGGTTTTCCTAGGACTTTAAGTGAAGGACTTTGGAAGTTGTGCTAACTCTTGGAAACCTCGAGAATAGTACTTACATGTTTATCTGAAATATCATAGATTAGAAAACCTCATGAATGACACAAATGTTTTGAAATTTTCTTTCTTTATCAGTATGCTTCCTTAAAGGATTAATAGGACATGGAAATTAAAACAGTGTGAACATATTCTTACCTGTGGGAGATACGTTGTTGGCTGGAGAAGGTTGGGTGCCAAGGGTAGATTCTGTAATACCTAGTGCAGGATCTGTCGGAGGGTTTACTGAGCCTGAAAGGACGAAGCAGAAATTTATCACGAGTAAAAGTACTACAATAGAAAGATAAAGTATTGACTTAGTCTCCCCCGCCCCAACTTTGTTTATTCATGTAACAAATCATTATTGAGGCCTTTTAACAGGCAAGGCAGTGGTACAAAATGGCAAATAACAGAGGCCTGGGGTTGTCTTTAAAAAGCATACAGCCTAGAGGATAGGTGGGGAGCCAGGCACTGTGTTGATGTGAGAGTCAAAGTGAAGGGGGCCAGGGGGAGGCAAAGGAGGGGCACCGACCAAGATCGGGAGGTCAAGGAAAGCTTTCTGGAGAAAGTGACGTTTAACCAAGACCTAGTAAAGCAATCACAGCAGCTAATATCTGAAGTATTTAAAAAGTAACCACACAGTTTACAAATCCATAAACCCACAAAAATTGTTTTATCAGCAAGCATAGAAACAATGATACAACTATCAGACTGGATATAACACCAATGAACTTAAGATTGATGGTATGATTATGCTTTTTCTAAAATGCCTATTTTTGTCATAAAATTTTTATTTGGCTAACTTTTCTCTCTGTGTGTGGGAGGGGGTTTAATGAAAGAGAGGCTGGAATATGTCATTTGACTTATTATATATCCATGTCAATTCCTTAAAGCCTCCATTATTTTACTGTAAAATATTCCTATTAGCAATACAAAACAATTTACAAATGCCAAAAGGATCTACTGACTTTAAGAATATCTGGGTTACATATGGGTAAGTGAATTCGAGGCTAGGGGACTTTGTGATTTTCTAGATAAAATGCCATTGGGTATAGTGCCACATATCTGATGTCAATTATTTGGATATTTGATTACAAGTTATACCTTTGGTTCTATTCTGTAATTTAATTTAAGGGAAAAGTATATATTCTTAAAATTATGTCACTTGAAACCACAGCATATTGGGAGGAATTTCTTATTGTCATCTGGATGCATCTATGTTTTATTTTTATTGGTGGTAATGTTGTTACTGCTATTGGCTGTAGGTGGCACTAACAGCTGGCTCTGATTTGCTATCACACACATGATTCCTTGTTATTAATCTCTGCGGAGGTGGGAGAGGGTAGTTATGAGGAGAGTATATGAATAGGCTAGTAGAATGACCATCTTCTTCTCCGCATGCCATCCCAAACAAGATGGACCACTTAGCATGATGTGCACATTTGATCATGATTTGGCCCCTATCACATCCGGACTTCATTTCCTGATGCTGCCTGTCATCTTTTACATCTCTCTCAGATCACATTCTCCATCCAGCAGGTGGTAGCTCAGCCCCGTTTCCTAAACACGATATGCTCTCTCTGAGTGCTTGATCTTTGTGCATGCTGTTTCTAACACTTTCTCACCCCAAACCCCCTGGGGTGCACTTCCTCAAACTTAAAGAAGCCCAAGGAGCTTTGTGATGTGTTCAGACTTCACCCTGCAAAGGCCTTATTACTTATTGGCCATGCCCTTCCAGAGAAGTAATTATTTTGTTCCTCACTTTGTGTTTTTGTATTTCATGCAAGTGGATGATGATTCAGTGCCTACAAATTCCCTCTTAACATTGGAAGGAAGGAGATCAGCTTTAAGTACAGAGCTGACTACGGGTGCATCATGAGCCTTATCTTCCAAAGGAATAACCTTCATCAGTCGGAGCACACACTTGGAAATACGATGTGGAGGTGTTTTTCTCTGTGGATTGCTTAGCACAGAGGTTGCCACACTGTGGCTCACATGTCAAATCCCACTCATTGCCTATGTTTGCAAACAGAGTTTATTGGAACACAGCCATGCCCATTTGTTTATGTATTATCCATATAAGAAAAATCTGTTGTCTCTGAGTGCTAAAGCAGAGAAATTCTGGGAATATTACAGAGCGGAAAAGAGAGTAAGAGGAGAGCAGTTTTTGTTGCCTTTAATAAGAGTAACAATGTTGGTAGGCTGCAAGATAAAAGTGTTTGAGGTGCTCCCTTCCCCACCTACCCCAGTCTCCCAGGAACTCCTCCCCGTCTGACAAAGCGATGCAGAGCTTTCAACATGAAACTTGAGGCCAAAAATATCCTTCTGGTTTCAGATTGGCCTGCAAAGTCGAAACTCTGCCTCGGTCAAAACAAAAGTCAGGGGGTATAAAAAGGAGCGGCTAAAGCCTAACAGGGAAAAATTATTTTCTGAAACTCAAATGCAGAATTTAGCAGGGTCCTGGGTTCGATTCCGGTCGGGGGCATGTACCTTGGTTGCGGGCACATCCCCAGTGGGAGATGTGCAGGAGGCAGCTGATCGATGTTTCTCTCTCATCGATGTTTCTAACTCTCTATCTCTCTCCCTTCCTCTCTGTAAAAAATCAATAAAATATATTTAAAAAAAAAAGGAGCAGCTAAAGCCTAACAGGGAAAAAATTATTTTCTGAAACTCAAATGCAGAATTTAGCAAGCACATGTCAGCCAGTTTTCAGACCATCATGTTGTCAGGGGTTGAGCTACTGGCCAAAAGCAACTCACTTTGTTTCCGGGTGTGTCCACTCTGCAGCAGGCCTGTCAGGGCCCTCAGGACCAGCAGTGGGCAGCAATGACCATGTGTCTGGCCCATAGAGTAGAGCAGCTGGGTCAGTTTTAGGGCTTCCTTAGAGCTTGAACCCCCCTCAGCTATTCCACCTAGAAGTGCACTCCAGAGCATGGTAGGCCCATGCTTCTCAAAATGTGGTTCCTGACTTCTCTTAGGAACTTAATGGAAATGCAGAATCGCAGGCCCACCCCCTTGATTTACTGAATCAGAGTCTGCATTTTAACAAGATCCTTGGGTGATTTGTATTTATATTAAGGTCCTTTATTGTATGAGGGACATAACAGGAAGTATTTGTCTGGCACATCCCATCTCAATATTCAATGGTTCTCTCCTCCCATTATTGATGTATCCCGTTTTAATACTCTCTTTACATCCCCAAAACACAGGCACACTCACACACTCACGGGACTCATTAATCCTTAACTCTCTTTCTAATTCCAAAGGTCTTGACCTTAACAGTTACAGTTGGAAATCCATTTAATAAACAAATCTCAGCCAAGGCTGATGACAGCCAGGCTATTACCCTCCCCAGGGGGTATTCACACTCAGCAAAACAAAACACACTTTGTGTATGCCCCAAATGGACTCCACATTGCTACAATAGTACACATACCAATAGGCTAGGCCAGCAGGAGAGGATATTTTTGGAAAAGTATTTTTTTTAAAATATACTGTTGAATTACAGGAGTCTACAGGCTCTGGTACTCAAATAACTGCTTGATGAGCTGCCAATCACCCCGACCTTGACCCATTCCCTTTCTAAGTTTTCTATAGTAAGAATCACTGAGCATTTGAACTTCCTGGGAGACAGGGGTAGATGGGAAGAGAGCACCTCAGACCTTGTTATCTTGCAGCCTTCTAACATTGTTACTCTTCTCTGGGAATAAAAGGCGGCAAAAACTGCTCTCCTCTCACTAATCTCTTTTCTGCTCTGTAATGGTTCCAGAATTTCTCTGCTTTAGCACTCAGAGACAACAGATTTTTCTTCTGTGTTTTCATCTTACTATCTGTCAACAACAATAGCTTGAAATGGCAATGACTGTTGGACAAATCATGAGAAGTTAACTCCAGTGTTTATATGGCATCTGGTAGTACCACCACAGGCAGAGAAAGCATGTTTGGGAGTGTTTAAGGACGATAACAAATAGAAAAATATGATGGAATGATGACATTATTTTATGGAGTCTCAACTGCATCTTCTACATCATTCACAAAGATGTATGTAAGATTGTGACCAGAATACAAGCTATAATTTGGGGAAACTGGACTCTTCAAGATTTATTGTCTTTCATATTTTACCACAAAGGATAAAAACTCATAAAATTTTAAAAGTAACCATCTGCTCAGATCCTAAAATTATATTAGATTCAAGGCTCTTCTATAATATTGGAATTATCATGTGCTTTGTGTATCAGAATGAATGCTCTTCCTTATTACCTTGAAATATTCATTACTTTTGCCCTAGCCGGTTTGGCTCAGTGGATAGAGCACCGGCCTGTGGAACAAAGCATCCTGGGTTTAATTCTGGTCAAGGGTATGTACCTCGGTTGCAGGCTCCTCCCTGGCATGCAAGAGGCAATTAATCGATGTGTTTCTCTTACATCGATGATTCTCTCTGTCTTTCCCTCTCTCATTCACTCTCACTAAAATCAATGAAAAAATATCCTCAGGCGAGGAATAACAAAAAAAGTATTCATTATTTTCTAATCTTAAAAATAAATATACTTCAAGAAAATGAGAAGATATGCTACAGACTGGGAGGAAAATATTTGCAAGAGCACATCTGATAAAGGACTGTTATGCAAAACATATACAAAGAACTCTTAAAACTCAACATTAAGAAAACAAACTATTTGATTAAAAAATGGGCCAAACTTTTGACACTGAACCAAGGAAGATATACAGATGTCAAATAAGCATATGAAAAGGTGCTTCATATCACATGTCACCAGAGAAATGGAAATTAAAAAAATGAAATATCTCTACAGAATGACCAAAATCTAGAACACTGACACCAAACACAGATGAGGATGGGGAGCAACAGAAACTCTTACTCATTGCTGGTGGGAATGCAAAAGGATACAACTACTTTAGAAGACAGTTTGGTGGTTTCTTACAAAACTAAACATACTTTTACCATACAATCCAGCAATTGTGTTTTTTGGTATATAGTAAAGTAATCTAAAACTCATGATGGCATATAAATCTGCATATGAATGTTTATGGTAGCTTTATGCATAGTTGCCAAAAGTTGGAGGCCAACAAGATGTCCTTCAGTAGATGAATGTGGTACAAGCATACAACGAAATAGTATTCAGTGCTAACATAAAAAATTGAGCTATCAAGCCATGAAAAGACATGGAGGAAACCTAAATGCATATTACTAAATGAAAGAAGGCAATCTGAAATGGCTACATACTGTATGATTTTAATATAACATTTCAAAAAAGCAAATCTATAGAAATAGTAAAAAAAGCTCAGTATTTGCCAGGGTTGGTTGGGTGTGGGAGAACAGGGATGAATAGGTGAAGCACAGAGGATTTTTAGGGCAGTGAAATGATTGTATATGATACTATAATGATAGGTACACATTATTATACATTTGTCCAAATGCACAGCACCAAGAATGAACCCTAAAATAAGCTATGGACTTTGGATAATTATGATGTGTCAATGTAGGTTTCCCAATTGTACCAAATGCATATTCTGGTATGTGATATTGATAATGAGGGAGAAAATGCATGTGTGTGCGGGGGTGGGGGTGGGGGTGTATACCAGTGATGGCAAACCTTTTGAGCTCGGCGTGTCAGCATTTTGAAAAACCCTAACTTAACTCTGGTGCCGTGTCACATATAGAAATTTTTTGATGTTTGCAACCATAGTAAAACAAAGACTTATGTTTTTGATATTTATTTTATATATTTAAATGCCATTTAACAAAGAAAAATCAACCAAAAAAATATATATATATATATATATATTATATGGAGAGAGAGAGAGAGAGAGAGAGAGAGAGAGAGAGAGAGAGAGTTATAAGAGGGATGGGGATGGTGCTACTGTCCCAGTATCAAATAGGCACTTGTTTCTGAATAGTGGGGAATGAACTTGCACGGAGATATCCATATACCTTTGCTGGTTAAGGATCCCAGGAACCAACCGCCTGAATTTGTGACAGGACTGGGAAGGACCCAAGATGCAGACTGAATCAAAGGGAAACTCTTTTCCTCATCAATTATTCTGGTTTTTATGAGTATGTTATAGACTATAATACTTCTGAAAATAGGAAGGTGGTAAAGATGTTAATAGTCCTTCAGAGTTTATTAATGACTTGCAAATCTATTTAAGTTTTATAGGCATTACTTTACTATTATATATGCATATTTGATGGTTGTCATTACAAATTTCTATTTTTATAAGTAATCTGTTGTCACAGTGTTTGTCGAAACATGTGTTCATCTCTTTTATGTGGTAAAATCTTCATTATTTTATCTAGTTAGTCAAATGTTGAAATATGTAGAATGATCCTACATATCAATTTTGTCATTAAAAATCTTCTTTGTGCCAGACTCTGCTTCAAATCAGGGGTACTAATGGAAGTAAAGTATTTATATTTTATACATGGTTTAGCCATTGTGCTATATGTATTTGAATGTTTTTAGCAATCCAGAAGGAATTTTTGGATTTTTAAAAAATGCTAAATGATCATCTCTCTTGATCATTAATATAGTAGTGTTAATGTCAGTTAGTTAAGAGTTATTATTAATAGAATTTGCCAAGAAAATGTTCTCTATTCACCTGAAATTCTTGAAAACATTCTTGAGTCAGCTTTTTATTTAAAGAATACTTTTTCAGTAGGGAACCATTTGTCAAAAAATGTTTGCTACTTTGAAATTTAGTAATTTTGAGTTGTGTAGCTAGATTAAAATATCATGGAAATAATGAGTATTCTATTTGCTCCAATTAGAAATGCTCTGAACTTATGGCAGTCTTGGCCACCCCTTGTCGACCTGATTAACAGACTACTCACCCAAGGAAAAAGTGATCTTTTCAGATGAGATATTCCACATTTTATTTCCAGGCACTGGAGTCTGAGCCATACACCAGATGGTCAGGTTGTTTGTTTGGGCTGGTTCATTGCCATACACCCTTGTGAAAACAGACTTTATGTTCAAAAATCCACTTTTGTCTTTTCTCTCTTCATTTGTAATGTATATTTCTACAGGACGAATAAGAGCAAGATTAGTCACTCACATTGCTGGCATGAGCCATACCATGATGCCAAGGCCTAGCGGGAGACAGTTTGGTTTATGGTAAAGGAGAGTTTAAAGGTGTCCAATGGCGGTATCTGGGCAGTGAGGGTGTGTTCCAGCAGGCCCAGAATTAACTGGAACTGTTTGCTGAGGCTGCTGCATGACATTGGTCCATGGTCGAGATGTGAAATGAATTAAGAGCAGCGGTTCTCAACCTGTGGGTCGCGACCCCTTTGGCGGTCGAACGACTCTATCACAAGGGTCGCCTAAGACCATCCTGCATATCAGATATTTACATTACGATTCATAACAGTAGCAACATTACACTTATGAAGTAGCAACGAAAATAATTTTATGGTTGGGTCACAACAGGAGGAACTGTATTTAAAGGGCTAGAAGTTGAGAACCACTGATTAAGAGGATTGTTTGGATTGTAACCAGGGCCCAGGGGAATTTGAGGGCTCTGCTGTGGAATCTGGACACACATCAGGAATATGCCTAAGTGATCAGGAAACTATAAAATGACCTCAGCTGAAACTCTGAGGTGCTCTGTGCCATATCAGTGGTTCCCCCTTCCACAGGTCCCCTTTACAGAGGGAGGACAGAGGAGCCCATGCCCGACGGCACTGGACCCCTTGTTGCAAATGTACATGTCATGCATATCTTTATTTTAATGGTGTTGCTTATTGTTTCCTTTTCCTGCAATAAGCTGCAGATTTATAACCATTGTCATGTTGGGTCCTGTGAGTCTTCTTTAGAAATAAAACCCTGTTTAACTGCCACTGTTAGTCCAACTTCTAAACAGCACACATGGCAGCAGGGATTTAATGTAAAACTGTCTGTCATCGTAGGCTATAACTTTCTGAACACAGCATCTTTACATTAAAGGCTCTCCATGCTAGTTCTGAAGTTATTACTGGCCAAACTCATAACTAAATGTAGTTATATGCTGGTAGAACTCTGACCACATCATCCGGCCTTATAGTTGGGAGTGTAATTATAACTGCACAGAAACTTCATTTCTCTAATATCATTTTCTCCTTAATTCCAGCTAGCCTTGTCCAACCTAATATTGCTATGGCTCACTTGTCTCCTTTCAACCAGATCCTTCTACCTGTGCACATACTGCACGTCCACTCTTCAATCATTAAGCCCTTAGGACGTTAGGTTCTGGTTAGCATCAGACTTCTGTCTTAAGAACAAAGCCTCAGGTCTGTCAACCATGAGAGCAGAGTTTCTGCTAAACTCAAGATAACATCTTGACCTCAGTTATGTTTTAGCCCCAGGCCCAGGAGAGCGGAACAACCCTACCACTACCAACCACATCCTCATGAAATCAGACAGGACGATGCCATGCAACATCGGGACCTGATGCAATGATCATCTCCTCCCTTTGCTTTGGCTCCGAGGAATCAGTAGAGCCCAGGACCCCAACTCCCTTAGCCACCTTGACTAATAATTCCCCCCCTATATAATTAATCTATCACCCAGAGGTCATTGGAGAGCCAGGTTTCAGAGTACTGGCTTACCTATGCCTCTGGGCTTGGTGCCAATTCCCTAAATAAACCTTTACTGTACTTTCTTTGCTGAAAACTACCATTCACATCCTATTGGGCTTTGATGAGTAGGCAAACCAACCCCTTTAGTTTGAAGTAACATAATGGACACATCAAACAGGGCTTATTTAACAGGAGAACATATCTATAATGACATTTAACAGATATTATCAGGATTGCATCCTGTCATTATGGTGAGTGAACTGGTTTTAAAGGGAACTAATAACAAAACCAATAGTAGTTTCAAAATGAATCAAGTGCATTAACACAATGATTCATGAACACCAACTTTTAAGTTCATTATTTAAAAAAAATAATGCAGTAACTGTGTGGTTCAGTTACTGTTGAAAATATGTTGCACGTTGAGGAGAAATGACTCAGGAGAAAGGCTATTGTGCCACGCAGGGGATGGCTGGGATTGTTCCAGCAAAGGTGGTCATGTTTATTACCTGTGAAAAATATAGCTTTGTGTAGTCTCACCTGAGCTTATTTCAATGTGTTCCTGCCCCAGGAACTTTTAATCCTCCAGGTGAGCATGTTCCTTGTCACGGAGCCAAGTTCTCTATGTGCACTTCCTCCAGTGCCCTCCCTCCCCTGCCCCCCACTCCACCCAGGTCCTTGTAAGAAAATGTAGAAATCACTCATTTATTCACTTAAAGCAGTGGTACTAAGTTAATTGAATTATATGAAATTATTACTAAATGTATGTCGAATTAAACTTTTTGCCCTCATCTAAAAGTTCTGCTTTTACTAACAGTGAAATAAAACATTAGTGTTTATATATAAGTTGATGAAGTCAAGTGTATTTCTCACATCCTGGGAAATGATACCCCCATCCTCTTGGAGGAGCCAGATGAGTATCAGAAAGTGGCATTTAAAGTGGCTGTTTTTTTTTGGAATGGGAATTGTCCTTAAATGCCAAGATAAACTTAAGCAACCTCAATTTCTATTGTTCTTTGTTTTCTTTGCCAAACCCATTTCCATTGAATGATTTCCTTACCTTCTCTTTCACCTTGAGGAAAACTTCTGTCTATAAACCATGTGAGATTTGCTGTAGGAAATACATTCCTCAGTGAGCAGGTAAATGTTCTCTGGGTGTAAATACAAGACACAGAAGAATTATTTGCAAGTTCAGAAGTAAGGAATACCCCTTACATCTCCACCAACCCTCACAAAAGGCAAATTGGCAGAAAACATTTTCTCCACTTTTAACAATGCCATGTTTTAAGAGGTTGTGTGAAAATTTGAATTACAAATAGACTTTCTCTTTATAAAGATGTTATAAATTAATGGCTAGAATCCAGGACAATACTGGTGTTGCAAATCTGGATTATTGGTTTTGTAAAAGGAAAATCACAGCTCTGCACAGGCAGAATAAAATAGTAGTAAATGGAAATGAAAAGATAGAAGGAAGAAGCTCTAACAGGCAGAGGCCAGAGAAGAATATTCTGTTAGAATAGATGCTACACTTTGGTTATTTCCATTCCCCAAATAATATAATGTAGAGAGCGGCTACAAGGTTTAGACAGGTTCAAGCCTTGGACTAATGAGAGGGCACAGTCCTCTCATGGCAAAGCCACGTGCAAGTCCCAGCTTGAAGGGCAAAGCCCTCCCAGCACAATTATAGCCAAAGGCTATAATTGTAAGCTTGCCCTCATGGTCTGAACCTATGGTCCCAGGTGGCTGAGTCATGTAGGCTGCGGGATGTGTAGCAAGTGCTGCCAAAACAAAGCTTGATAGAGTTCAGGTGCATGTAATTGAGTAGATTCCAACCCCCCCCCACCCCCCCACCGCCCCCCCCCCAGAACATTGTAAACATCTTGACCACGCCCTTACTTTGTCTCCTGGGATCTGGCTATAAAATAAAGATTCGGCTTGCAGGCTGTGGCACTGTCTCTCTGAGAGCAGCGTCCCACCTAGTCCCAGCTTTATTCTCTTGTCTGTCTTCTTTAATCCTTCCACCTCCCTCCCCCTCAGGTTTACCCCTGGCCATGCTGAGTGCAGCACAATATAAAATATTATTTGTAGCAGTGGCCACAGAAACCCTTTACTATAAGTATCTCACTTTTGACTTATAGAGAGTTTTCCTTAATCCATTTTCATTTTATTATATTAATACTATAGGATAGGAAAGATACACCTTATTATTGTCACTTGACAGATGGGAAAACCAAGGCACAGAATCACAGACTAGCTAAAGGGTGTGGGATGTAGTTGATAGCACAAATTGGGAACTATATTACCTCAATTTCAGTCCAAAATATCTCCTGGTAAAACACATTGTATTGAAATAAGAGAGAAATAGAAGAACAGGTTGTTTATGTCACAAAACTAGAAAGTTTAGAGGTAGGATTAGTTATGTTTTATTTTCAATACTGTGTTTGTTCTTTGTGAGATGGTGGTTTCTTCAATAGCTTGGTGAAAATGTCCAATAAGACTTATTGGATCCTCATTATTTTATCTGAGATACTTAAAAATAATAATTCCATTTATAATTACTTGTTTCTCATCAAGAGATGTGTGTAGTTTTACATATTACCAGCCCTTGTTTTTAGTTCTCAAATATTTCCCAATTGATGAATATACTAGTTAACTAATAAAGAACTGTTAGCTGTATGTGATGCTCAGCGTGCCAATTTCCCCTCAGACTAGTTAGTCCCAAAGAGTCTTGACCTTCTACAGAGCTGAGAAACCGAATTTAAACATACTAAGTTACATTTCTCTGGTGAGATCCTACTGAGGTGCAGTGTAGCATACCTCAGTATGTCACTACAAAAATCTCAAGGAAATATGTAAAACTTTCAGAGGAATTTATCTGTTGTGTATCCAAGATGGGCAGGATCAAACATTGCAGCTCCCATTTTCCCACTCATTCAACACTTGACAGTGGAGATACATGCAGGGGCAAGAATGCAGATCTGTGAAATTGCTTCACTTTCTGTCCTAAAAAAATCAAAAGTAAAATAGGTCCCCTAAAATATATTCCTATTAAGTAAAGAAAAAAGAATTCAGTTTATTTAATCCAATAAAATGCCAAAGATTGATGATTATCTCTATGATGTTAAAGTTATAGGAAATGGAGTATTATTATATCAACTAGAGGCCCGGTGCACGAAATCCGTGCACGGGGTGGGGGGTGTGGTCCCTCAGCCTGGCCTGCACCCTCTCCAATCTGGGACCCCTTGGGGGATGTCCAACTGCCTCTCACAATCTGGGACTGCTGGCTCCTAACCACTCACCTGCCTGCCTGCCTGATCACCCTTAACCCCTCTGCCTGCTTGCCTGATCGCCCCTAACTACTCCTCTGCCAGTCTGATCACCCCTATCTGCCTCTGCCTTGCCCTGAACCCAGGACTCAAGATTCTCTCCCTCTGGTCAGCCGCAGGCACCCAGGACCGTGGGGCGGGTGGCTTGTACCTCTCCCGGGCTGCAGCCCCAGCTGCTGGCACCCGGGACCACAGGGTAGGTGGCTTGTTCCTCTCCTGGGCTGCAGTCCCAGCCACTGTCTTTATTTGGAAACTTCTACTTGGTCCAAATGAGTATGAAAAAAACATGTTACATTTAAAAAAATAAGAAGTAAATATGCACAAAAGTCTACATGCACACACATACAAGCACACACAGAGACCTGTTCCTCTACTCTAAATTAAATCATTCGCTCACTCTTTGTGTGCCTGTTGCCTCAGTGAGACAAGCCAAATCATTGATTTCCCCAACACATTATTCTAAGTCCACCTGGAATAAGTGAGGAATAGCACAAAGAATTGTGTAATATGTGCCAAATGTATTTGGAAATTTCTGTAGGAGTTCAGAGAAGAGTGAAATCTGAAAGTAACTTAGAGAACAAAGTTGAATTTTGTGGACAGGGAAGAGATGAGACTACAGGTGGTCTCTGTTGAAAAGTAGTGGGGAATTCACAAAGCTGGGCGGATGGAATGGGTTTCTAGGCCAGATGTGAACTGGGAACATTGTCCTGGAAGCAGAGGGAAGCCAGTGGATGGTTGAGAATTATGAGATTGAGGAGTCAGGAGAAATAGTTCTAAATCTGGCTATAAGACTGACCGTTTCCTTATTTCCACAGATGAAATACTGAAATGGTGACCATTTGTCAGTTAACCCATAATTAGTTTCCCTAAATTTGGACAAGACCTTTTCCAAAGGGCTTTGCAAAGAATCACTTTGAAAACATTTAGCTTCTTAATCTAGAAAGAAAAACCTTAAAAGAAAATTTCCCTATGTCTTTACCAACTCTTCATTCCTATCTGGAGTCTTCCTCCCCACCTTCACCCCCTTCCTTTTCATTTGGAATTTTTCTCTCAGGTTCTATTTGTTTTTTTACTCTGCCTATTTCTATCTTTTCCCTATAACTCAGTTATTTTCTTCCTATTTCTTCTTGGCAGATTTTTCACTTATTTATAATAGGAATGAAAATATATTTTTTGCTTAAATTGTTATTATCCCTTTATTCTACTCCAAGTGAGAGAAGGAGCTAATCACATTTCCACTTTTCCAATTCTAGTTACATTATATAATATAAAGCAAATCCAAATTTTTTCTCAATTGGCTATATCTATTTGAACTGGGGTGTTTTCTTTTATTTAATCTTCCCTTTCCTGTAAGTTCTTTGGCTTTTTACTTACTGAATTTACATCTATAGTTCCTAAGCCAAATTCAGACTCTTGGTCTGACAATTGGGCAAAATATTTGAAACCATAGATGCCCTTGAGGCATGTGGCTTCTGTCCACATTCACCCCTTTCCCATTAAATCTCCTTGGCTTGAAAGCTAGATGATCTAGTCATCTGGAAACGGAACTACGACGTGTAGGTGCTGGATTCGCTCTTTTACTACATGACATTTGCCAGGAACATCTCTTTAGTGCTGGAAGGGGCAGAGAAAAAGTTTGCATTTGTGTCTGTGTTGCAGAAAAACCCACAGGCAGGGACACACCCATTTGGGAACAAGGCTCCTCCGAAAGTAGGAGGGAACAGGAACTGGAGGTACCTCCTCTGGGGCAGGAGTCAGCTAATAACTAACTATTCAAGGCACACAGAGCACTCACCCTGCACGGGAGCCACTGGAGACAAGACCAGAGCCTCTGGTGCCAGTAAGTAACCACTTGTGGCTGGTGGGTGTTTCCCAGCTGTTGGGGGTGGCAAAGCTTGATGAATAAGGCTCTCATTCCCTTCAGAAATGACCCAAATAAGGAATCAGAGGTCAGGCTGCTTTTAAAATGTAATATGATTTTCATTTTTTAAAAACCCTTAAAATATAGTAAATAAGCGAAACATCTGGAGTCAGCTGCTGTCAGGAAGGTCTTACCAGCTGTTGGCTTTGCAGGTGATGGTGCCGGGGAAGGTGGAGCGTGCTGAGCTGCTTGCCCAGGACCACAGGCGACACTGAGCCTGTGGAGAAGTTCCACCTGTTCCTCTTCCGTGCCTGCCAGCTCCTCCCGCTGAAAACAGCTAAGCCTGATGTTCCGATTTCTTAGAATCCCGGCCTCAGAGGACTCTGGAGAGATAAGCTGACCTCACACTAGGAAGTTTATTATCCGGACCCTGGCAGGCCTTGTTGCCGCTGACTGCTTGTTGCAACAGTGCCTGGGAAGCATAAGTCTCTCTCACATCAGCATCTGTCCTTGCTTGCTGCTACCCACACTGAGAGAGACCTGGGGAAGCCCCAGCCTTGGGCGTCCTGAACAGCCTGGACATTGAGGCTGTTCATCCTACCTCCAAACACATTTTACAGGATCTAGGAGCACAGAGACAGTGGAAGCAGCCGGGAGAAAACCTAAAATTTTCAACATTCAAAGACACCGTGGCGTGGTGGATGTAGATGGAGAACACTGAGTGGCCTAAACAGCTTTGCAATTGTTGCACTAATTTGCTTTGACTCTGGCTTTGCCAAGGAGGGATCAGCACATCCGGAGCACAGAGGGAATGTGCAGGGGAGCCTCAGAGGCCATTTTGCTTGGCTCTGACTCACCCTGACTCTCCAGTGAAGCAGAAAGGAGAAAACATCACACCAACCAGGTGTGGCCAGCCTTTGACCATTACTGTGAAACCCCAAGAGTTGCCACAGTTCCTTTCCAGGTACGCAGTTAGCCTTAGTTGTGGTTCAACTGAGACTTTTAGCTCAAGGAAAGCTGTAGAAGAGGAGACAGTATGAGGCGGGAAGAGGAGGAAGAGGAGAGAACCGGGATGACGGCAAAAGGGGAGTTACCGATGAAGGAGGAGGAGGAGATCCATGACATGGGAGAACTGGTTGGCCCTTTTGTGAGTGCCATACCCACCCCAGTGCCCCACAACAAGGGGACCCGGTTTTCCGAGGCCTGGGAGTATTTCCACCTGGCTCCTGCTCGTGCTGGGCACCACCCCAACCAATACGCCACTTGCCGCCTATGTGGCCGGCAGGTGAGCCGTGGCCCCGGGGTGAACGTGGGCACCACAGCCCTGTGGAAGCACCTGAAGAGCATGCACAGAGAGGAACTGGAGAAGGGTGGCCATGGTCAGGCAGCACAGCGCCAGGACCCGAGGGGCCAAGGGCCGCAGATCCCCATGGGCATCGAGGGCGAGTGGGCCAGGCTCCTGGAGCAGGTGGGGGCCCTGGCTTTATGGGCCAGCCAAAGAGAAAAGGACCTTCTCAGGAGGGAGAGGGCAGTGGAATGGCGGGAGAGGGCTGTGGAAAGGAGAGAGCGAGCTGTGGAGGAGGTGGAAAGGGCCATCCTGGAGATGAAATGGAAGGTGAGGGCAGAGAGGGAGGCCCGCCAGAGGGAGACAGACCAGCTGGCAGCAGCTCACCCCTTCCATTTTGTTTAAACCGGGCTTGGGGAAATCTGTTCTGAAAACACTGACTTCAGATTCCTAGCAAAGAGCCATTTTAGTTCCAGCTTAAATATACAGCAAGGCAATCTAGTGGGATTTTGCTTTTAGGAGAAAGCTAGCATACTATGTGTTAATATCAGCAAGTTCTGAATTAAGCAAATGTTTAACTATAGGGTTCCTAGTGTTGTACTGATTAAAACTTTAAAATACACTGAGTAAATATAGAGGTTGTGTCACACCGTGGGTCTGTGAGTTGTTCTAGGTCATAATGTACCAGCCTGTCAGCACTGATGAGTGAAAATACTGGGATGTATGCCTCCCACTTGATTTTGGTAAAGCTGGAGGTTTTGACAGTTGAGGCTGGTCCGGTAGCTGGAATGTGCCTGCCTGGCCAGTCCCACCAGGAGCAGAGCTGGGGCTTCCTGGGGCCGCGGTGTTTTGCATGCATCTGGCGGTGATTTGAGAACTGGATACAAAGCTTGTTCTGTGGAACTGAGCAGTGGAAGGACAAAGAAGCTTGAGCCTGAGGTCTCCAGACCCTTCCGATGTATACCTTTTTCCCATTGTGGCAGTGCTATGACACCTGCTTATATTAAAGCTGTTCCATCACTCTAATCTGTCTGAATCTTGTCTTTTCAACAACTTAACACAGAAATGATTAATGCATAAGTAGTGCAGAGAGAATGAAAGACTTAATAACTCATTTGAATTAAATATTAAGAATAGAGAACATAGCCAGTTTGGCTCAGTGGATAGAGCATTGGGCCATGGACTGAAGAATCCAGGGCTTGACTCTGTGGTTGTAGGCTCGATACCCGGCCCTGGTTGGGGCACGTGCGAGAGGCAACCAATCAATGTTTCTCTCTGTGTGTCTCTCCCCATCCCTTCCACTCTCTCTAAAAATCAATGGAAAAATATCTTCGGGTGCGGATTAAAGATATAGATGACATAAAAATGTATTCATAAATAGTTAAAAATGTAATCTAGTCTCATATTAAGGTCTGTTAAGGGAGAAGGAGTTAGTGAAGAAGAGATGAAAGAAAGCCAAAAAGAAAAAGAAAATGATAGATGGGTAAATAGAAAAAATATGGACCAGAGGCAGAAAAGTTAAAAAGAAAGAAAAAGGGATAAAGAAACATGAAAAGATGAGAGAAGAGAGACAGCTCCCTAGGCAAAATTCACCACAGGAAGATAAGAGACCATGGCTGTCAGGGAGAGTGAAGGACAGAACATTTTGTTAAATTCTGAGGTCAATTTTAATGAGTTCAGTTGCTTTTATTTTCTTTCCACAGAACACACAGACCACTTGTCCATTTGAGCAGTAAGTTTTGGATTTTATCCCTACCTCTGAAATGCTAACTGCATATCCATCCATTGTTCTCAGAGTTTTTAAAACTCTTCATCATTCAATTTTCAGAGATGTTTTGAAGAAAGGGTGACTAATAGTCCATAGGAAGAGAAAAAGTCCCTGCGTTGCTAAAGATATGCCTAAAATGTTAACTCAGGAATAGAATAAAATCAAGGTGGAAATTACTCTGGTCTTTGAGCTAGTCCTGACTGTTGCTTTGGATGATTTTTTAAAAAACAAAAAACAAAAAAAAACTGGGCTGGGAATAGGGAAAACAGAATGGTGAAAGCTGGGAAAGATAAGAGGAGATTAAGATGGTAGCATTTCATTATTTTGTAGGTAGTCTAAGCACTCTGTGGGCACTGTGCTTCCTGAAAGTGGATAGACTCCACCAGCAGCTCTAACAACCAGATACGTCTTCCCTGTGAGCTGCTTGTGGAACAAACACAGTTCAAACACCAGGCTTGTGAAAAACCCAGGCTGTGATGTAGTCCTGTAAATCCCTTCCCCTCCCCTCTCCCCTAGAAACCTGACTGATGTTAAGGATTTCACTTCCCATGTGGTTTCCCCACTGGGTATGGTTGCCCTCTGAGGCCTTCCCCAGGTGGGGTGAAAGCTCAGGCCCTCACCACTGCAAGGATGATGGTGGCTGGCAGACTCATGCCCATACATTTGGACTCAGAGACTTATTGTGCTACAATATGCTAGAAAAAAAGAAAAGGGGCCTCAATACCTAATCTTACACACACACACACACACACACACACACACACACACACGGAATGTTTCTTAAGAAGGTCAAGGAATCCCCAAAGATTCAGGCTTTTACAAAACCAAAATATCAAATTCTGTAAACAGCAACTAGAGCTTTCCTTTCCAATATGTGCTTTTAGGTTATGGTGTCTGTTTTATATGGTTCTTATTATTCTTTTCTTCCTTAGGCATGTTTAAGCCCAACTGCTTTTGTTTCCTATGTTTCATGTTAGGTAGTTTTCTTTATATTCCCCCCCCCCCCTAAATTTTTTCAAATATAACAAAGGTTAAGAATGACAAGAACATGACCTATGGAGATGACTGAGTCAAAGTATGAAGCACAGGCCTAAAGAGAGACATGCGACTTGCGGAGAGACTGCATTGTTGAGTCAACTCTGGAATTTTCGTGCGTCTCTCTTGTGCCTTCATTGGAGCTGGGTTAGAGGGCCAGGGGATCTGGGCTGAGGGGCTCATTGGCTCAGCATCTTTTGCTCTAATGTAAAAATCTGCTACGTGGTGGGGCCCTGAAGTTTAAGCTGAAGGTCCCTTTTCCATCTCAGCTATGAAGGGAGGCTCTGTGCCATATTGGAACTCTGGTGGAACCTCCCTCTCAGGAACACACAAGAATATCCGTCACAGGTGTGACACATGGACACCCTGGCCTGTCTAAGCCTGAGAGGCATCACGGTTACAATAATTTGGGAACTTTTCTATCTTACAGGAAAACTACATTAGCCATAAACTTTATAACTTTAGCCCTAGCCAGTTTGGCTCAGTGGATAGAGAGTAGGCCTGCGGACTCAAGGGTCCCAGGTTCGATTCTGGTCAAGGGCATGTACCTTGGTTGCGGGCACATACCCAGTGGGGCATGTGTAGGAGGCAGCTGATCGATGTTTCTCTCTCATCGATGTTTCTAACTCTCTGTCCCTCTTCCTTCCTCCTTGTAAAATATCAATAAAATATATTTAAAAACTTTATAACTTTAGTAACGCTGGAAAAACTACTCACAACTGACCAAATGCCCATTTCTCTAACACTGAGCGCTGCTTGTGTAGTAATATGTAGCACATAGTAGGCATTTCACATGTTCATGTTGACTTAGAGTTAATTCCTAAGGAATGAAGGGAGGGCATAGAAAATTACCACTGCCAAATACCTATGGTAGCCAGATGGCAGATACTTTGCATATGTGCTCCCATTTGATCCATACTTCACCCTGGTGAGGTTGGGATCAATGATGAGGAAGCTAAGGAAATGAGATTCCAGGGTCGAGTCAATAAGTGATGGATAAAACTTTAACCCAGGTCTATCAGGTTCCACAATCTATGTTCCATTTTTTCATTATCCCACACTGTCTCAATCACATAGTACATTTATGAATATAAATGCAGAGGAAGAAATGGGTGAAAGAGAGTGAGTGAAAGATAAATACTGGGAAGGAAAGAAATATTCCTGAGACATTACAGTGTGCCATGTACTTCATTACTGTGCATAAATTTAATTCACCTAAGAACTTTGAGAAATATGTATTATGACCCTAATTTTAGAGGTGAGTTGGCTGAGACTCATGGGGTTAATTACTTGGTGAGGATATGTAGTTAGTAAGTGGTCTAATAAGGATTTGACAGTAGTTCTACCTGCCCCTGGAGCTGACTCCTTTAACTGTACCACCTGGCCTGGATGTGGGCATGCTAAATTCTCACCCCAGCTTGGCCCTTTAGTAGTGACTCAGCCAGTTGTTCAGACTCTCCAGGCTTCAATTTCTCGTCTTTAAAATGACAGATACCCTACCTTTTTTTGAGACTCGCTGGCAGGGTTTTACAGAGTTCATAACTTATTGAAAATTCAATGGGGATTATAAGAATATCAGAGTGAGGAATCATTAATATTTGGCAAGATGTTAAAAGATCCATAGACAAGCCATGTCCTGTAGCTGGTTAGATGGATTTGTTGAGAGTTTATTCACTAATTCCTCAGGAAGTAAGTTTCTCCTGTTTTCCCTCTCAGCACCTAGGCAAGCTTGGTACAGAAGAGGAAATTTGATAACATGTAAGACAAAGTCCTTTTTTAAAAAATTGGAATTTTGGGGTCCAACTTTATGGTTACATATCTAATTGAGTAATAAACACTGGTACCAAGAACCTACAAGAAGTCTTTATAAGAAACAAAATACCTACCAAATATAATACCACTAGATTATTGGTTTTATTTAAATTAATGAAATGAAGTCCACTGATAAAATTTGGAATTAATTGTGACAGAACAATTTAAAATAAATATTTTCCTATATGCTCAGAACTTCAATAGCAATGATCTAAAAGACTAATACATAAAATCAGCAAAAGACACAAATACTTGATATATATATATATATTTCATCTAAAACCATCCCACAGAGCCTGAGCTATAATTCAACTGTCAAATTACATGGCTGATATTCAGCAGGACTAGAAATCATAAGTAATTTAGTGTTCTTGGGGCTAGAAGAGACTAGAATATAAGTATAATTTTCTCTCATCCCATGTAATAGGAAATAGGAGAGTTAATGAGAATATTTTTTATTTGGAGTTATGAAAAGCTTGAATAAAATCATAATGACACAAGACAGTTGATTAACATACATAATAGTAATATGAACAAAACAACAAAATGATATTTATTGAGCAATTAATATATGCCACACTATCTACTAAGAACTTTTCATAGGTTATTTCATTTAATTCTTAAAAACAACAATGTGCAGATACCCATCTAATCCCCTCTATATGAGTGGGAAAACTGACTACAAAGCTGTGAAATAACTTGCCCAAGGTCACAGCCAGCAAAGAGAAGAGCTGGCAAGTGAGCTCTGAGCTCAGATTCCAGGTGATTAGAGGCTGGGAACTACCTACTAGAAACTGAAGTCAGAGGGTCTACTTTACTTCCCCTTTCCTCTTGCCCTTTCTCCTGCTGCTAAGAAATAGCCGGGCTCTGAGGAGTACATAAGGACAGCTTTCTTCTTGTTAACTTCAAAATAAAAACAATGGGAAAGCTGGTACAGGAAATGGCTTTGAACAAATTAAATGTCAGCTGAGCATAAAACTCATTCTTTCACCAGGATTCACACTGCTCTCTGCCCTACTTTTCCTTCACACTCTACTTCAATTTTTATTAAAAAGAAATTTAAGCTATTGAGACTTTTTTTTTTCAGAAAAAATAAGGACTCGGGACCACAGATCACATACTCTGAGAGCCCAAAGTCAGAAAGTAAGAATGCCCATTAGGTTTCCAGCTTCAATTCAGCTTCCCTTCTACCTCACCAGAAATTAATTGGCTGAGGGCCAAAGAGTAATATCCTTTGGAAAAATGTTCTGGACAACGATGTAACCTCGGTGTGTTATACTATAAATTTTCAAAGGCTTTAATGTGACTCACCTCTCCCAAGACATCCATGGAGTTATTTTCCATAATCATGGGGATTTCTGGCTTAGCTTAAAGGCAAAGAAAACACAGTTAGTGGCACGCAATCCCATCTTACCTGACTACTAGTGTGTGTGTGTGTGTGTGTGTGTGTGTGTGTGTAAAAATTCGTCATTTATAATATATTAAACACTCACTGTGTGTCTGGCAGAATGTTAGATTTTTAGGAAACAAAGGTGGGCAAATAATCTTCACTGTGCTAAAAGTATTTATATTTTCTTGAAAAATACAGATACATAAACAAGAAATTAGAAAACGCTGAGATAAATACCATAATTGAGGATATATAGGATTTGAAGAAAGCTTTTAAGAGAAACTGCTAACCCAACCTTGGGGAATAAGAGGAAGCTTTTGAAATTTGCTATATCTAATTGATAGTTGAATTATGATTACTACTGAGTCAGGTGAAAAGGGGACTGTGGAGGAGAGGAGGGACAGAAATACAGTATAATGTATAGACCTCTGAAAGGGACAGGAAAGACACTTTATACTTTAGTTGTTTGGTAATAGAAATTATTAGGAACTATTTCAATTATTTTGTTATCCTGCTAGATTATAGGTGCCTCAAAGCCAGACTGTTTTATTCATCTCTTCATCTCAAGCACTTAACAGAGCCCAATCAAAAGTAAGTATTAAGTATATCATGTTGAACTTAAGTGGTTTCAAGTAAGTTCTTTACAAATTTTTTAAAATTTCATTTTATTTTGTTAATCCTCACCCAAGGATATTTTTCCATTGATTTTTTTTAGAGTGAGTGGAAGGGAGGGGGAGAGACAGAGAGAGAAAAACATTGATGTGAGAGAGACTTATTGATTGGTTGCCTCCCACACACTGTTGGGGATTTAGCCTGCAATCTAGGTATGTGCCCTTGGCCAGAATCAAACCTGGGACCCTTCAGTCTGCTGGCTGATGCTCTATCCACTGAGCCAAACCAGTCAGGATTCTTTTTTAAAAATTTAAATATATTTTTATTGATTTCAGAGAGGAATGGAGAGGGATAGAGAGATAGAAACATCAATGATTAGAGAGAGTCATTGATCGGCTGTCTCCTGCATGTACTACACTGAGGATGGAGCCCACAACTCGGGCTCATAGGTCAATGCTCAACTACTGAGCCACACTGGTTGGGCTCAAGTAAATTCTTGAGTACAGCAGACAAAGCCGTCTATGAACCAGTGGAGAAAATATTAAAATATTAAGACCCTGTCACAGGTGCTGTTAATGCCTGCAAATCCACTTGACATTTGACTTTACTTGCTGGTCAAGAGACCTCACTAACTAGAGGCAAATGTGATACTCTCCTAAGGATTTATTGGGGTTCGGGGAGCACACTGAGTCCACAAGCAGGGCAAACAAGAAATCCCAGAGAGTTTGTGGCGATAACAGATGGGGAGTTGGTGCCTAATACCCCAGCTTCCTTGCCTCTGATGTGTGTTCTTCCAGAGTTCCTCAGGGGTTCGAGCTCCAAACCCACAGCTTGATCGTGTACATTCTATTATCTTCCTTCCTCTTCTGATGTTTCAGAGGATTACCTCTCAAACAAAGGAATTCAACCCAAATCCTCCTCTCCTTGCTTTCTTTCAGGAGAACCCAAACCAAAATGCAACCCTAAAACACTGAGGAGAGGAGGGGCATTTCTGACCTTCTATTGGCAACAAATACCGTAGAATAAAGGACCCAAAAGAAAGAACAATTACTAAAAATTGCAGGGGTGGTAGAGATTATTTTTGAAGCTCAGGCCAATCAGATTTAGAGCTGAGGAGAGGGAATTTGTGATGGCAGGTGACTTACCACTAAGGAAAGGGAAGTTAAAGGAGACAAGTGAAGGAGATGCAGGAAGCCACAGAGGAGCTGGCAAACTTCCAATCCCTGATCTGCTAGAGAGTAAAGGCATTGTCCGGAAGAAGAAAAGAGCTGGATTTGGGCATGTAGAATGGGTCTGTGGAACACTTGGGTATTTATTTTGAGGTTTTCATATTTTTATTTTTGGCTTCATCTATTTGAGGAATAATCAAGGAATGCAGAGTGGATTCTAAATGAACTATGTATTGTGCTTCTATGCCAGGGCCATGATGATATATGTTCAGGTGACACCCACAAATAGGTTCAGACTAGATGAGACTATTCTAACACAACCTAGCCAGTCCATTTGGTAAAGGAGAAAGTCCAGGAAGCAGGGAAAATCTAAATATATCTACAAGGAGGCAGAATCTCCTATTTTTAAGCATGTACTGGAAGGAGTTGAAAGAAGAAACAGAAATGCTGAGACAGATGTACAGATAGATAGGGTGAAAAGAGTGAGATGTAAAAGTCAGAAGCGGTCAAGACCAAGATGAAAGCATTTTAATGCAGCAAAGAGAACACAGTTTAATTTGACAAGGCAATTAGGTCAAGTTACAGTGCAAAAAACCCTTGGTCAAAAGGGACACAAATTGCATTATTTAGAATTGATATTTCTTTGCACATCCCGGATGGCTGACTTCATTGATTTGCCAATAGTAAGACCAGATGAGTTGGTTTCATGTTTGTGCTAAGACAGTCACACCTCGGTAAGAGCGCTGAGGGTGATAATCGATAAAAGAGATGAACAGTCTTTCCCAACTCTTCACAGAACATTGTTTAGGCTCCATAACGAACCTGACCATCAGCGGCTATTGATTATTTCCTAGCCCGTCCATGGGGAGAGCTGAGGAAGGAGGGAAGGAGGGCAAGAGGAAGAGACAAAGGAAAACTATAAGCAAGAGGCTTCAAACTATATTAATCTTGGCTGTAGCGACTCCATCTTTATGAACTGCAGGGCTGGCATTTCCTTCAAAATACTGAATTCTGTGACCTCTAATAATAATGCAATGAGATTGTAGGTAAAAACAAAGATTTTCCTTTTACTTGTTCTGTCAGTCGTGACTTATGTTTTGTAAAGTTATTTTCTTTTCGTTTACCTCATTTTCAAAATCAATTAATTGCTCACCCGCATCACTGCTTTTCTCTCTGCCTTAATTTAGAAATGCTGTTTTAAAAAGCACATTTCTTAGTCACAAAGATGAAAAAATATTCAAAGCTAGGAGTTTTTGTTTATTAACATTTCCTTGCATCACTGAACAAAATAGAATTTTCACATTTCCCCCTCACCCCCCAGTTTGGACCCTGCAGAGTCAGAGGCCCCTCCTGTGGGCGTCCTTGCTGGAGGAGCTGGCCTGCATTCTCCCCAGCTGGCTTTGGCGCGGTATGGGGGCGATGCCCGGAGAGCATCTCTGGAGCTCTGTTCATCATCCTTCTATTCTCACACTGGCCTTATTCTGTCTTGCTCCAGCAAGCAACTGAGACAATTAGACAGCTAAGCAATCATACTTTGGCAGCTATAATTAAAGAGATTTCCAGTATTCTTAGGAAATATTAAAATTGTAAGTAAGGGAGTGGTCACCAGGAAACTGACCAATTGTGTGATTTCAATCATCTAATAACAGAATCGTTATTCTTTCACTTCTTATCCTCCTCCCCAGCCCCAACATGGAAGGCAGGTATCAAGGTCAACAAAACTCCTGAATAGCTAGCCTTGCGTGGCTGCACCCCAGGTCACAGGCTGCTTCCTCTCTAGGGGGAAAGTGAGGCAGGCAACAGGGATGGCAGGATGGCGGGGAGTCCAGAGAACAAACACTCTTACCGAAAACCTTGACCGTGGTGGAGCTCCTCAAGATTTTGCCAGGCCTGACTATAACGTGGCAAGAGAACTTCCGGTCATCGTCGTGGATTTGGACTGGAGAGAGGTAGAGCCCATAGTCTGCACCTAGCTTGACTCTGTCTTTAAATAATGTGGATTTGCTGATGCGGTGATCCCGGGTGAAAAGTGTTTTCTGAGTTCCATTATCTTCCTGGTGAGAAAAATAGTTACCAGTCATTGAGCACTCAAGTTGGCTAGCTCTGGGCTAGGTATTCCACAAGTACTAATTCATATCTTGTAAAAAGAGAGATATGAACGAAGGATTGAAATGAAGAGGTACTAGTATTTCGTATGTTACTAGACAAAATATCATTACCCTTGACTTTCAGCTAAAAACGATTGTCAGTTTCTCCTAATATGAACAGATACTTGCTGCTCTTCTGTTGAGAACTCCCCCTTTGAATCCTCTATAAGCTGCATATTTGGGGGGCACATAGCACTGGGGGCTAATGGCAGATGACAATCCTCATACCAAATTCAGAAATCTTAATGGCAAGGTGTGCTGAGAAGGCTTTATGATTTGCCTATAAAATCTTCAACTGAACTGGATAATTATAGTCACCCTCTCTCCCAGCATAACTTTAGAAAGCTCTCATTTAGGTCCCCTCAGGGCCAGGACTCGGATGAGGTAAGGAGACTCCTAGGGCACAAAATTTAAGGAGGCACTTACTCTCAGGGTCTTGTGAATGCACCCTGAGCACCTGAGAGTGAGCACCTCCTTAAATTTTATGCTGTAGGCACTTCCTTTCCTCCTTACCTCAGCCTTGTCAGTCCTTGCCCTTCTGCCCTTATTATTTCTATGTTTGTACTGCCTTCAAAGAGGACTCATGAAGAGTAGGCTGTAAATGTTAATCTGAACTTTGGAGACCAGAGATCATTTGGAGTATTTGTTTCCTCTCTTCCATATCCTTTCTCGGGTCTGTGAAGAAAGTCCCATTGTTCTTGCCCACCTCATTATTTCCATGGACAGGGTCCTGGGGTGTCACAGCATTGGTCCATTCGGTCATTCTGCTGACTAAGGGCCCAGTGAAGAGGGGACTCTTGAGGGGCACAGGATAGAGGAAGGGGTATGTCCTTATACCCTTTAGTATAACAACATGCTCAATTCAGTTGCTTTGAAAACACTCAGATGCATACATTTATTCTCTGGGGGTTTGAACTCAGTTGCTCTGGGATGAGACCCTCAGTGGGGCAGGGCTGAGAACCACGGGTCTAACTCTAAACAACAGGTGGATCTTACGCACAGGAGCCAGGGGAAATGGAGGGAACTAAAGCAGATGAGGTGAACAGGAATGCATCTGGTGGGGAAGAAGTCATGAAATAATGAGAACAATGATCTGACTTGGAATCTCTATTTTAAAAAATGAGACAGATGCAGGGTGGAAGAAATGGAAGCAGGTGAGTGAGAGAATTCAAGTATGGGGTAGGAGCAGAAACAGTGGAAACAGGAACCTAGACTTTTTGAATAGTTTATATCAATATTTCCAGAATATATTTAGTAGAAACTCTTATGTAAGACACAATTCTATAAATAACTATGGCTGGGATTGGTATCATCTTTACAAATATATATTTCATACCCTACTTAAGACCTACTTCTGAAGCAATGCACACGACCTATGTGTCTATCCTGCTGTCTTCTTAATGAAGAAGTACACAGAAAGTTAAAGGGAGAGAGCTTATATTCTGGAGACAAGGGCTCCAAAAGGAGCCTTAGGAATTAACTGGCACTTGACTCAGCATCTGCAGACCTGGAGCCCAATAATTAAGGAGGCAGGCTCCCCCTACAGGTCTTCCAGCTCAACAAGCTTGGTTTTATAGATCCTGCTTTATGCACAGGGACTGTTTTGGTGAGGATCTTGGAGTTCAAAATGCTGCTTGACCTTTAATAAATGACTTGCCACCCAGAACATTTCCATCTGTCACTCTGTTGTGGGAAGAAGGGCAGTCAGAGGCCACGGTTGGAGACTGGCAAGGAAAACTACTTTTTCCTTTATTGTGTAGCTGAGTGTGACTAACCTGGGTGGTTTCATTGGTGGAGGAAAGATACAAAAAACAAAACAAAACAAAACCCCCCAAACCCCAATTTGCTCCAGGGTTTGTTTGTTTTTCTGGGCAGTTGACTGTTGTAGAGGAAAAGGTTTGTTCCTTTGTTTGGAAAGATAGGATTCAGTTGCAAAGTTATGCCTGGTAACTTACAACATTCAGAGATCCTGAAAGAACCTAGAATCCCAGTTATAGAGGGGCCAAGGCAAGACTGCCCATGGGTGGCTGCTTTCACGGAGCAATGGGACGAGAGGCAGAAAAAACTAATGCAGTCAAGCATTGAAATATCTAGAGCTGGGAGGGGGAGAATAATACCAATATCATGCTATGACCACTATTAAAATTTTATATTCTTATTAGTCATAGCTTAAGTTTATTTAGCTCCTACTGTTTTAGGCACTGGGCAAAGTTATTCCAAGTCTTATTTACTCCCTACAACAATCTGGAATGAACTGAAGTTAAATAACTTGCTCAAAGGTCACGCAAAATAAGAAGGCACTTAAGTCACAGCATCAAAAAGCAGGGATGCCCAGGACAAGTAAGCCTCAGAGACAAGACAACACTCACTAATGAAAACCAACCCATCACACACACACACACACACACACACACACACACACACACACACAAAACAAAAGCCCACTTCCAGGAGTATCAGAAATGAAAAATTTAAAAGAAATTTCTGGAGGCCAGAGGCCTTTATGTAGGTGGTTGATTACAGAGGTGTGAACAATTTGCTGATTGAAAGGGTCCTTGATACCCTATGACCCTAGGGGTCATAGAGTGTACTTCAGCTGCCACCTGATAATGATAATCTTAGGGTCAGCAGGAAACATACTGGTAAGAGGTTCTTATTATATAGTCTTTATTTTTGTCTGTTTTTCTCTTCTTGTTCTTTTAAGAAAAAATGTTGGCAACTTTCATGGACTTCCAACTTAATGGACCCTATGATTTAATGGGAAATATAGATTGCACTGGCATACCTACACTAGTCCTGACACTCAATATATGTTCAATTAATACGAACTGTCCTCCAGCCTCGCTGATGATCAACCAGCTACTTCATGAGTATTCTTTATCTACCTGATAAACCAAGGAGCTATGGAGAGTCATAAAACCAACTCTTTAGAGATTAGTTTTTAATGCATAGTAAGAACAGGAATGTGCTCAGTTTTTCAATTGTTACCTTATTCACACCTCTCAATAATACCGTGAGGTCGGTACTATAATGATCCCCTTTTATTGATGAGGTAACTAAAACTTAGGTTACACAACATATCTGAGACATGAATTCTGAGACAAAAGGAAAAACATGTACCCCTATATGCACTTATCAAAATACCCTTCCAAATTTTGCCTAAGTGGAAAAACTTAATAAAATTTCTATAATAATAAAAACAACAACTTAATGACTACATAACGCAGTGCATTGCTCAATGTCTTCTCCTCTGTCAACTCTTCTACAGGTGGCCGTGGAGGACACGATGCCATGAGGCTCAGGGACCACAGCCTGATTGGGAAACACCGTTCCTTGGACAGTATAGCTGGGTCTCAAAATGGACAAACAGCAGCCTGCCTTTATTTAAAATGTTGATATTTTCTTCATCAGGAATTTTTCCTAAATTTTGATTTTAAAATATTTTATTAATATGTATATCTTGGTTACTGATTTTTTCGGCACTCCCTTAAATTGTCATCCAGGGTGTGAGCCCTATTTACCCTAATCTTGGCTCTTAGGTCACACAGCTAGTAAATGGAGGAACCCGGACTTGAAAAAATAATTTCCCTCCAAAGGCCATGCTGTTAATGACTTTGCTATATACAGCCTCACAAATGTAGTAGGATAAACAACCCTTGCCTTTTCTGCTTAGAGGCTATTTGAGAAGACTTAATGCACAAGAAAAATTAATACAAAACCATACCCCATACCCATAGAAGAGAAATAAACATATAATTAAGTTATGAACAAGAGTTAGATAAAATAAGTTGCATGATAAGGGGTCCTATTGAATCCTGAAACACTGCTTCCCTGTGTCCCTTAAAGACCTGAAAAACCTGGGAATGAGTGGTGGAGGTTTTCCTATTTTTTTTACTAGAATCAGAATTTCCAATCCAGAAAAGGGACATTGGTACTATTTGATTTCGTGACATTATTTCATCCCTGGGATGCCACAAGCTCTGAGTCAGAGCTGGCGGTGTTGACTACAGCACATGGTGGGTGTTGAGTGCCTATAGCTCATTCAGTAAATTCGGTTAACTGTATTGACTGCTACTTCTTTATCTCCACACTGCTTCCTATCTTCATGCCACCTGCCCCCCCCCATTTATTTTCTGTCCAGGTCCAGTCAGTGCTGTCCAAGAAGCTGCTTGTGAAGGCCCCAGGTCCACTCTGTAGGGCACTAGAACAATATTTTTCTAATCATCACAATTTAATCAACACTTTGTAGGTTGGCTGGCACTTTAAGTTTGATTATGATGAAGACAAGTAGAGGCTACTGTCATCTGGTAGAAGGCGGCAGTTTTGTTTTCTGAATTGCTAGGCTTTTCATAGGCATGGAAAACCAGCATTGTTTATTAGCACCATTTATCTTTTTGTTTAGCTATAAAACATCAAAAATATTAAAGAATAGTATATCTATAAACATACATTTATAGATAAAAAATTAAAAACATAAGCATCTAGGTTTTTAAAAATGTTTTTTATTGATGTTTAGAGAGAGAGGAAGGGAGAGGGGTAGAAAGATAGAAACATAAATGAGAGAGAAACATCATCAATCGGTTGCTTTCTGCATACCCCGCTCTGGGGATTGATTCCCAGGCATGTGCCCTTACCAAGAATTGAACTGCGATCTCTTTGTTCCTGGGTCAACGCTTAACCACTTAGCACACCAGCCAGGCAGCATCTAGGTTTTAGTTATATGCCTTTATTGCTAATATTGAACTGTTTGCTGAAATATTTCTGTCCTTCTTGTTGTGATTTTAAAGAGAAAAACCATGGGTTTCTCTTTATCTGCAACTTTAGGAATAAACATTTCCTCCTGCCCCTTATCTCCCCAAATTGTACTCATGGGTCCCAGGGTTTTAGTACATGTCTGTCATTTGCTG